CGAGGTAAGTCTCCCATCTGTTGCGACCTTGCCGTAGCGTTTAGTTTTGCACAAATCAGGCATTTTCTTATCTTTGATTTAACCAAAGTCTTTACTTTCAGGATCCAGAATCTAGTTCGCAGGAAGCAGAGCGTTAGTTGAACTCCACCGTGTAGTGTTTTCAGGTGAGCGTCGGTGACGAGGAACGCCGTGAGGTTGTTATCACGATCAAGAATGATCGGGTGTTTACCGTCTTCGTTTAGGTCAGCGTGACGCAGTCTTCCGCCCACCCTGAGGATTCCATCATCGTCCAGGTAAGGTTTTAAATTGTTTAGTTTACTCTGTTTTTTTATAGGTCTCTTTGTTTTCAGGTTCTCAATTTCTTCTTCGAAGCTGTCTTTCTGTGTCATTCTCAAACAAGTTTTCATAGCATCATCTAATTCCTCCGTGTTTATAGTTAAGTCCTTGTTTTCCATTTTTCTTCCTTTTAAGAATCTTTTGCAATACACTATTGCCTTTAGCAGCTCTTGTAAAGTGTCACAATTTTCAAATCTTGTAGTTATGCTGTTCTCGGTTTTAAGTTTTAAATTTACTTGTATTTGTTTGATTTCTTTCCAGATCAGTCACCATCGCTTTCGGTCTACTGTATTGAATTTCTCCTTCTTTCAACCACTCTGGACCTGTCCACCACAGTTCATCGTCTTTAAGGTCCAGCAGAGATTGTCCTCGCGAAGCAGTGTCAGCTGGGTTTTCTGGAGACTTGACATGATACCAATTGCGATTTCCGATGTTATCAAGTATTGCAACAACTCTGTTTCTAACGTACACGTTCCATCTCGTAGGATCACCGAAAAGCCAGGCAAGTACAATAGTGGAATCAGTCCATGCGTATATCTGACTACAGGGTATATTCATTGCTTCCTTTATCTGCTTCAGGAGTCCGGCAAGTAGCACCGCACCACTGAGTTCTAGACGAGGTAAGGATTGGGGTTTAGTAGGTGCTACCTTCGTTTTTGCTGCGAGGATTGATGTTTTTACTTCACCACTATCTGTTCTGACTCTTAGATAGGCCACTGCAGCATAAGCTCGATTCGACGCGTCACAGAAGCCGTGGATAGTGATGTTGTTCATGTTACTTTCAGAAGTATGAAGCCATCTATCTATTTCAATCTCAGATAAGTGAAGATGAAACGATTCTCGTATGCTGTTCCATTCTGTGGCAATGTCTTCGTCTATATCTTCATCCCATGTTACTCCTTGCAGCCATAATCTTTGGATAAGAAGCTTTGCAGGCAAAACAGAAGGCGCTAACCAGCCTAATGGGCCAAACAATCTCTGCAAATCAGCTAAGATTGTTCTCTTCGTAACGGCTTTGGATTTAGCAGGTAAGTTTAGGCTGTATTGAAATTGATCCTTGCCCATATTCCAGTGTAACCCTAAAGCTCGTGTGATTCCGTCTAATGTTATGTCTAGTTTTACATGTGAGCTTCTTTCAGATTCTTCAAATGCTTTGAGAAAGTCAGCATCGTTAGAACACCATTTCTTCAGTTTAAATCCGCCTTTCTGGAGTATGACGTCTATTTCCTTCGCCACTTTAATGGCATCTGTGACGTTGTCTTTACCAGACATCATGTCATCCATGAAGTAGTCGCGACTTATTATTTTTGCAGCTTCGGGATAGTTTTGTCCTTCATCAATGGCTACTTGATGCAAGGTCCTTACTGCCAGGTAAGGAGCAGAAGCAGTTCCGAACGTGACTCTGGTAAGATCTTTGACAGGCTCTTGTTCATCATATCTCCACAGTATTCGTTGCAGATCTCTGTCTTCTTCATTAACGATGATTTGCAGGTACATCTTTTGGATATCGGCTACGAAACAAACTTTTTTCATACGCCATCTCATGATGAGACTTCTCATGTCATCTTGTATCTGTGGTCCCACCATCAGTTCGTCATTCAGAGATACATTGTTACTTCCCTTTTGAGAAGCATTAAAAACTGTTCTTAATTTGGTTGTTTCTTTCTCCTCTCTTACTACGGCGTGGTGTGGTAGATACACAGATGGATTGGCAATTTCTTGTTTTGGTACTTCTTCCATGTAATTTAATTCGTAATCTTTCATAACTGTAGCATAGTCGCTCTTCAATTTTGAATTGTTCTTGAATCTTTGTTCTAATTGATAAAATCTCTTTAATGCTATTGTTCTTGTATGTCCCTGGGTTAATAATAGCGTGTTCGTTTTCTTGGGTAGCCTCACAATATAACGCCCGTCTTTATTCCTAATAGTAGTGGTTTCGTAGAATTCCTCGCACTTTCGTTCGTCTGGTGTGGGTTCTGGTTTGTCATATGGATCTTGTTCCCACATTCGTTTCAACATATCATTTAGATCAAGATTGAGGTGCATGACGATAATATCATCTCCAGGTAGTTTGGTTTCCACGTTCCCAAATAGAATCCATCCCAGACTGGTGTTTTGAGCACATGGTGTTCCTGGAGGGCCCTTGATAACTTCACCCTTAATGATTTGTGCATATACATCAACACCCAGTAATAAATCGACTTTTCCTGGTTTATTGAAGCTTGGATCCGCTAGAGGGAGTCCTTGGAGATGCGGCCAGGTGTTTTTGGCAATGGTTTGTGATGGTAGCTTGGCAGTGAGACGAGTTGATATGATATACGTTTTGACTGTAAAGTTGAAACTAGCATCGTGTCTTGATAGTAATTGGATTTCTGCAGTATGTTTAACATTTGTTTTGGTTGAGCCGACTCCAGTGATGGTGCCGTTAACAGGCTTTCTCTTCAATCGTAACATCTGGGCCGCTCTCTCACTCATGAAGGTAGCTTGGGAGCCGTGGTCAATCAAAGCACGTAGTACTGTCACTCGTCCCGATTCGTGTTCTCTTACAGGCACGAGGGCTGTGGCCAGTATTGCAGTGGACGAAGTAGCAGTGACATGCGATGAAAGTGTAACGTTAGTTTTGGCTGCGTCTTGCTGAGTTTCAATATCTTTATCTTGTTCTTTCGTGTTGTCTGGTTGGTTTGATGACGTCATAGGCGTGGACTGGTGCGTAAGTGTATGATGACGCTTATTACATTTTCGACAGGACATCTTCAGGCGACATCTATAAGCTGAATGTCCAGGGGCCAGGCAATTATAGCATAGGTTATGTTGTTTAATGTACTCACACCTCTCTATTGGGTTGAGCTTGATGAATCCCTCACAATGGCACAATGTATGATCTCCTTTGCACATAGCGCAGCTTCTTTGTTTCGGCGGGGTTGTAGTACTTGAGGTTGACACGTGAACAGCGTATTCTTTTCCTTTAGATTTTTCTCTGGTCGGGGGCGTGACAAGCTCCAACGTGCGGAATTTCGCTTGCAGAAACATCTTAAGTGCGTCCCAGTCCGGTAACTCTTCGGCATTATCCTTGTAAGCAGCTTCTTCCCATTCACGATGCGTCTCTGGGTCCAATTTTTGAACAACTAAAAATATTATTAGTGGATCCCAAGAGCTCGTCGTCAATTCTAGATTTTTTAGTGCATTCAGACATTCTGTAGTCGTGTCCAATATAGATTTAATGTTACTTGCAGTTTGTACAGATATCTTCCGTTGTGTAAATAATCTCTTCAATATGGAATTGACAGTAATAGGCTTGTTACCGAATCGGGCCTTAAGCATTCTAAACGATTCTTCATAGTTAACCTCTGTAACTTGCACGTGCTTCAAGAGTGACAATGCTTCACCGGTAAGGCTGCTTTTTAAGTAGTGCAGTTTTGTACCTTAGTTAATGTTTGATTATCGTGCACTAATGATGTAAACAAATCTTGATAAGCAGGCCACTCATCATAAATACCTGAGAATGTTGGGAGTTGAATCCTTGGTAATTTAACATGCACTTCCCTTGATAGGCCAGAATCACTGTTGTTATGGTCAGCTTGCATAGATACCGGCGACGACTTGATGGATGTACTCAATAAATCATTTAGATCGGCTAATAAGCATACGTACAAATCTTCGTGAAAAAAGTAATCTTCGTTAGTAAAGTACGAAATGTCGAGTCGTTTCGGTTTCGGTACACACTTCACTAATTCTATATGTGTATTTTTGTACGTAGACCAATAATCTTCGATGTCTTTTATCCGTGTTTCTAGGTATCCTTTAGTAAGACGTTGTTTGGGACATTTCTTGAGATTTGTTTGCGCTTTTGATAACCTCATAGCCGTATCTTCCAGCACACTTAATAATTGTTCCGGAGTATTAGCCATATTTGATGTAAATTGCGTTCAATGTGTCGTTAAAATAGATCGTTTCTATGTTTCTTCGTAGTTAATTTATTATTTTGTTATGATCACGTCACTTATCTAGGCTCAAAATTGAACATTTATTTTTTACAACAAAAAAATCTTTTGTTCTTCGCTCGCAGCTCGACCCGTCCTTTTGTATTGCGCTCGGTGTATGAAACGTCGTAAGTCCAATAGTATCCGGCTCGAAGGACCAAAATGTTACAGTATTAAGGTTCACTTTTGCTTGTAGGGATTTTAGGTAAGAGAAATACGTGGTTGCATTGCGCTGATTTATTTACGACTGGTTTAATATTATAGATTCTTAATTTCTATGATGACACACACATGCATTCATACTTAGTAAACATTATACCCACATACAAACAGATTCTAACACAACACGGGGAATATGTTTATACGCGACAATGATTATACTTAAGCAAAAAAAATATTAAAAAACAATACTCTATAGATACATACCTACATATATCGGGATATATAGTAAATATACATATATATCGGGCCTGCTGGAAGAAATTTCTGAAGAAATAATCTGTGCCTTTGTACCTAATTGTTGTATTATTTTTCTGGTCCATCTTACTGTGTGTACATAAATTATTAAATAAATAAATAAATAGATGTTCTACTATTCTAAAATGTTCTACTATGGCAAATATATTTTTACTAAGACCATACTAAAGAAATTATAATTTATCAAACATTCCTCCTTGTCCTCAGCGCGTAGGCTGTGATCTCCGAGTGGGGTCTACACGACGAGTGGACGAGTGCGGTGTTTGTGGTGGCGACGGTTCCTCCTGCTCCCGTCCCCGGTACCACTGGCTGGCAACTCCAGGGTCTTTGTGCTCTGCTACTTGTGGTGGAGGTAAGTTACTTAACGCTGGTATTCTCTGATGAGGTTTTTTCTACAAGAAAACGGCGTCTTTAAGTAGCATAAAGCAGATAGGGTCTTCCATCAACGTAAGGTACTTTAGAATGAAGAAACAAAGAAATACAAGGTCAAATAGAAGTCCTGACTGACGAGATGGTAAGTAAAGTGTGCCACTTATAGACCTGCAAAATTGAGGAGTTACAAGTGCGTTGTGCGTTGTTGTTGTGTCTTGTCGTCGTTGAGGTTACGGTAACTTCATTTCTACAAAGAAATCCAATGCAAGCGTGTTTTGGGCCAGTTTGAAAACACTTCTGTTCCTTCTCCTGCTTTAGACCGAGGCTGCGGTAACTTATTGCGCTTGCCCCGGAACCCTGGCTGAACATCAGCACTCCATATTGTGTGGTGGTCACTTCTTTCCGAGACCCACATATTTACAAGTCACGTAGTAAAGACATACATCACAAAACAAAATATTTAACCCCCCTTAAAACTAGATCAGAAAATGTCACAATAAAACTAAATCTTCTTCAAATTCTTAATCAAGAAAAGCAATTAAATGCTCTCGCAGAATTTGTAAGAAGTGGCTGAACAACGAATTACGAACACGGTTCAGATCTCAGAGAGCGCTGTATCCAAATCTGTTCGATACATTAGGGAAGCATTGTTAATTGTCGGCCTCCGGGTCTCTAAGTAATTTATATCTGGAAATCCGCCATTAGTCGAAGCTTACGATAAATCAGACAGCGAATTCCTTTTGTCTCTGAGCAACAGTTCATAGTGGGTCGACGCAGACGAGCGATTTTGCAGTTGGCGATTTTTGATCTTTGATCGTGTGGTTTTTGAATCATCATAGCGTTTAGGTGATGTTTGTGTAATCAGTATATACTATCATTTAAAAATAATGATCTAATGACTTAAAATTTTTCTATGGTATATATACCGGAATGACCGTGGTGATTAATGGGGTCTTTCAGACCCCTTTGTCTGTTAAAGGGTTGAGAAACGACAGTGAAGACTATCAGAGAAATGACTTAAAATTTTGATATAGTACATATATCGGAATGATACCATATCCTCACAGAAAACCAGTGTCATATACTGTTTCGCCGGGGAGGCTACCGGAGGCCCAATCGTTCTTCTCTTCCATCCCTAATCCTCAAATCTCGAAAAACCCACAAAAGGTTGGCAACGCACGTGCATATTTTTGTATTTCGTTTATGGTGGTACGAATGCTCCTTGCTCGTTCAGCCCCTAAACGTATCCCAAAACTGATCTTTTAACTTCTCTAAGAAAAATATTCGCTATTTCGATAAATTGTAGCAGCGAAGTCGCCCGTCTGTTGACTCCATTACCCAAGCGAGATTCTCAAAGGGCGATCTTTAATTAAGAACCCCTGAAAGATGAATTTGAGATAAGTATTAACGTTGTGGAATTGTCCGCGAGAGTCACTTGTTTTTGTTACAAGTTCTTCACTAAATCCCTGATGTGTGTGACAGAAAATAGTTATACAATATTTTCTTCTAATAAAGTTTTTTTTTTCATCCAATAATTAATAACGTAGTTTGTATATTAAAATCCAAACTAATATTATAAATGCGAAAGTACGAGTAACTCTGTCTGTCTGTCTGTCTATCTTTTTTAACACCTAAACTACTGAACTGATTTCTGTGAAATTTGTAACAGACATAGTTTGGAACTCGAGAAAAGACATAGGGCAGTTTTTATACCAAAAATCTGCAGGAAGTCACTATTCCACGCGAACGGAGTCGCGGGGAAAAGCTAGTATCATACAAATTGAAATGAAATCCCTTTTCTGGGGAGGGGAAAATCAGCCAATGACTTCTCTCGTCTTCTACCGCATGCCCGACTGGACATCAGCCCTGATAGTCACTTCTGTGGCGGTCTGATGGCATATTAAGGCGCGTCCGGAATCCTTCAATCTAGTTCTGGTCAGCTACCTAGTTAGATCTGATCTGATCCTTGCTTGCCACGTACGCTTACAGTGGCTGGAGATCATCACATGATTCTCGACGCCAGGGACTCCTGTGGTGGCTGGGGCAAACATTTTCTGTCTCCTCTTTAGCTGGCATGACTATTTTAAAATTTGATGCCTGCACATTATTCTGGTAGAACCATAGCATAATGGTATGTTTTTCAACCCTCTAAGAAAGTCATGATATCACGAGTCAAGAAGAAACATTCAATATGGATAAATTTCACTTCTTCAATGTAATAAAAAAACAGTTAAGTAATTGAAACGACCACAGTTTTTTAATCAGTACTCAGTGAAAAACAGAACTTCTTCTAAAAATGAAACGAACGACCGACCTTAAAATGAAACAATGAAATTATCAACTCCAGTTATCCATTTCAAAAAAGTTACGATAATTTTCAATGTTAACCCTGAAACGCACACCATTTATTACAGAAGTGTTGTAACCCCTTGCCCATTAGATTACCTTGCACCAACTGACCCGAGACGGTCTTACAGACCTTCAGACGTTTCAATTGTTAATTAGGTGTCAGTGTCGTAATGATTAATGGGGTCTGTCAGACCCCTTTGTCGGTTAAAGGGTTGAGAAACGACGGTCAAGACTAAATGAATGGATCTGACTTTTTGGGGGCAGCACTGTAGATAATTTCCATCGTGGTCTAATGCCGATAAGCAGTTCATTGTTAGGGTTAACTAGAACAGCGTTTTTTGCTTTTAAGTATAAAAAAGTCTAAAAAATAATTCTTGGTGGCCCAGGGTCATGCATGAGAGTGAAGATTTGAAACCTGGCAAGAACCAATGTGATATTTTCGAAGTCATATGTCCTTAAGTACTAAGATCATTGCTTGGTACGTTAAGTGGTCGCAAGAACGACAGTCGTTCAAGGGGACTAAGATTTGATTCCCCGGTTCTGCAAAAGACCTTGTGTCTGTGCTGAGTGTGTGAGTCAATCTTTTAAGAGCCATGGGGACTCCGGTAACGTCGCTCACATGACGAAACTCAACACAGTTTTTAGCAAGGCCGTGGTATCACTCCGGCCGCCTTGAGCCGATCCATTGGAGTGGAAGCATGGCTCTCCCACACTTGAACTAATTTTGTATCTTTCTATTTACAAAATTAAATTGATTGTTTCATAATAATTAATCATAAAGATACTTCGTTCAATGACGTAAAACAATAAATATAAATAATGTCGTTGTAACAATTAAAATTGTTTCCAAAGTTTTAACATTCTGTAGCATTACCTACATTACATAAAACTCTCACTTACAATAATTTGATATTCCTCTGAATCGGAGCAGATACTAAACGGATATACTGATTTACATATTCATGTATTCAAAAGAAGTTTCTCAAAGCTCTTCGATCTTAATCGCTCATTAGCATTGAAGTCATGTTATCTTGAGTTTTTATTTTATATTGTCATGATTTTAGTAAAACGTCCGATCGTTGCAGTAGCTGGGCAATCGGCTCAGTATAATTCTTACGCATCAATAATGGCGGAATAAATACAAATAGGGGCTAACGATAAAAAAAATGTAATATAACATATTTTGCTTGCACATACAGGAGGGGTGGGTAGTAAAAGTCTCTTGACAAGGGAAATAAAATCTATATCTATACTAATATTATAAAGAGGTAAAATTTGTAAGTATGTATGTAGGGGGTAATCTTTGGAACCGCTGGTCGGATTTCCAAAATTCTTTGATAGATAGCTACAATGTTCCTGATTGCTATAGGCTGTAAAACATCATGCTACGATCTATTGGAGCCGAGCAGCGGGTGAAACCTCGCGAGAATAGCTAGTAATACTTACATTTAATAGTTTTATTTTATTATGAAAAATTAGGTATGTGAAAGCCATGCTTCGGCACGAATGGTTCGGCTAACGGTGTGATAAGACGACTTCACAAAAATCGGCGTAAAATAAATAGAACGTATCAAAATTTTCCGGGATTTGAAGATTGGGGATGGGGGGAAGGATAGGGCTACCAGCAACCTCATTCATACAGCGCAACGGAATTCAATACGCTTGTTCAAGACAGGTTGGCGATTTCAAACTTATACTTAGAAATTATAAGTCAGGGTTTCATCACAATGTTTTCCTTTACCGTTTATGAGTGATGTCTACATAAGCATTGAAAGTACGTACAACTCGGTAAAAAGTTACAATGATACTTGCCAGGTTTCGAACCCTCGTGCATGTGAAGCGGGTGCCTTAAACTTTAGGCCACCACGATAACAATGACGGGGCCCTATAGGGCTGATGTTCAGCCGGGGTTGCGGGGTAAGCGCAATGAGGCACCGTGACCTCGCCCCAGAGTTTTTAGTCAGTAAGAGTCTGACACTCCCTCCCGCCCGGCCCTGGGCGGGAGAAGTCATTTGATGATTTTCCCCTCACAAAAAATAACACGACAACAATAGATAGGTACTAAATCTAAAGAAAACAATAATCTTTTATTTTAATACTTATTTGAGCAACTTTCATCTGTTTCCCAAAATGAACTTGCTGAAGTCACTTAGTTGCAACGCTCCAAATTTAAATTGACCACAGCGGGCTCCCTTTATATCCGTTTTTAATAGGTAATGTTTAGTAATTTTGTTTTCCGAGTCTCGCCTAATGGGAATTTAAATACTGGAAGACCTGTACCGGCTTCTTATTTCTTTTAGGGATCTCTGATAGAGGAATTGGTGCGTCCTATTCGAAAAAAGAAAAGGTTTTAAAGTTGAGCTTGATCTCCTAGCTAGCCAAAGTTATTTTACCTAATCATAACAAAGGCCTCTTCCTTTATTCTAGACGTTGAACTTATACTTATAGATGTGTTTACAAACATACAATTTTCATAACCATACACATCACACCCAGACCCGAAATTATAATTTGTGAATCACACAAAGAGTTGTTCCGACCAGAAGAAATGTCAGACTCTTACTGAATTTCCTTCTCCTGCTCCGGGTCAGGCTGCATATAATTTTGCTTTACACATTCATTAATACCAAT